CATGTCTATAGAAGTCAGAGATTGGAATTATGCAGCTGCAAACTAAGGAATGTTGGCAGCCATGAGAAGCTAGAAGAGGAAGAGATTCTCCTGTAGAGCTTTCATGGGAGCAAGGGTCTGCTGACATCTGGATTTTCACCCAGTGAAATTAATTTCAGACTTCTAGCCTCCAGAACTGTGAGACAACTGTGCTGTTTTATGTCACCAAGTTTGTGGTAATTCATTACAAAGGCACTAGAAAAGCAATAAAAGATTACTAATTTAGGAGAGGTTGTAGAGGTATGAGGGAAAAAATGACTTCTGCCATTTAAGATATCCTATGAGACAATTTAGCTAGATATCTAGTACAGAATATGAACTCAGAAGAACGACTTACTACTTACTACTCTGCCTTACTGTTGACCTTAGGGTCATTTAAAGGAAGGCTGTACTTTCCAGGATAAATAAAGACCTTAATTTCAACAGTGTACCCACCAGTTAGACCCTTGATTTAATTGCAGTCATTGAGAAGCTGAGTAGGGGAGTAAAGGCCAAAAGACATGGGATTTAGGAGAAAGGAAAAGAATTGACAGATCTAAACAGCCTGAGGGGGAGAAAGAGGTCAAGAAATTGAAGTGAGGGAACCAGCAGTTAGCGTAATGGCTATGTCGCTGAACTCCCATGTAGTCGACTGCGGTTCGCGTCCCAGACCCGGTGGCTTAAAACTCACGCCGGGCGCGTGTGCATGCATGCCCAAGATCCCGAGAGGAGAATGGAGGAGAAGGGATTGCAGCGTGACCATACCCCCTGGGGGGGGTGATTTCTCGCTTTCTGTCTCTCTCTGTCTGTCTGGTGAGCGCACACGCCCTATAGCGAAAACCTCTCCAAAAAAAAAAAAGAAACTGAAGTGATAATTTTAGGGTTACTGATCATTAAGAGTATAGGGACTAAGGGCCAACTTCAATCAGCCACCTGTTTCACTAATTAAAGTTTTACTGGAATACAACACCCATTTTTTTAAGCATTTCTTGGCTGCTTTTGTTATTAGGAAAGAGTTCAGAATAGTCATCCCTCTGTATCTACAGCAGACTGGTTCCAGGAACTCTGTGGATGCTCAAGTCTCTTGTATAAATGGCATAATACAGTATTTGCATACCCTTCATACATCCTCCCACATATATTCAATCCTCTCTAGATTACTAAACTATCTCATAAACTGAAAATGGTACATTAATAGGTGTTATACTGTATTGCTCAGGGAATGGTAATAAGGAAAAAAAGTCTGTACATGTTGAGCATGGACACTATCATTTTTTTCCTCGAATATTTTCGTTTGTTTGTTTGTTTTGAGAGGTTTTTGCTATAGGGCACGTGTGCTTGCCAGAAGACAGATAGAGACAGAAAGCAAGAAATCACCCCCTGGGGCGATGGCCATGCTGCAATCCCTTCTCCTCCATTCTCCTCTCGGGATCTTGGGCACGCACGCGTGAATTTAAGCCCAAACCGCGGCTGAATACATGGGAGTCCAGCAACATAGCCATTACGCCAACTGCTGGTCCCTTTTCCCCGAATATTTTCAATCTTCAGTTGGTTGAATAAACGGAGATAGAACATGTGGTTATAGAGGGCCAACTATAGTTCTACCCTTGTGATCTGCAAAGCTGATTATGTTTACTATTATTTACATAATAAAATTGTTGACCTCTGTTGTAAGCTACTGTAGTAATACAAACAAGAAATAGAGGCCTGAACCATGGCATAGCAGTAAGACTGAAAAAGCATTTAAGAAATTTAAGAAGCAGAAAAGATCCCCAATGTAACCAATCAGATAGAAGAGTAGATAAAAGCATCTAGAAATGTTTCTAAGTTCCTAGTTCAGCAGTCTGCACAGACGTTAGAACTAGGATACGGTAAGCTAAAAAATGGTCCCAAGTATATCCATGCACTAGCCCTTGGAATTTGTGAATGACACCTTAAATGGAAAAAGTGACTTTGTAGATGTGACTACATTAAAGATGTTGAGATGAGGAGATTATTGTGTACTTTTAAGTGGGCCCTAAATGCAACACAAATGTCCTTACAAAAGAAGCCAGAGGTAGATTTGACACAGAACAGAAGGCAACATGTCTATAGAAGTCAGAGATTGGAATTATGCAGCTGCAAACTAAGGAATGTTGGCAGCCATGAGAAGCTAGAAGAGGAAGAGATTCTCCTGTAGAGCTTTCATGGGAGCAAGGGTCTGCTGACATCTGGATTTTCACCCAGTGAAATTAATTTCAGACTTCTAGCCTCCAGAACTGTGAGACAACTGTGCTGTTTTATGTCACCAAGTTTGTGGTAATTCATTACAAAGGCACTAGAAAAGCAATAAAAGATTACTAATTTAGGAGAGGTTGTAGAGGTATGAGGGAAAAAATGACTTCTGCCATTTAAGATATCCTATGAGACAATTTAGCTAGATATCTAGTACAGAATATGAACTCAGAAGAACGACTTACTACTTACTACTCTGCCTTACTGTTGACCTTAGGGTCATTTAAAGGAAGGCTGTACTTTCCAGGATAAATAAAGACCTTAATTTCAACAGTGTACCCACCAGTTAGACCCTTGATTTAATTGCAGTCATTGAGAAGCTGAGTAGGGGAGTAAAGGCCAAAAGACATGGGATTTAGGAGAAAGGAAAAGAATTGACAGATCTAAACAGCCTGAGGGGGAGAAAGAGGTCAAGAAATTGAAGTGAGGGAACCAGCAGTTAGCGTAATGGCTATGTCGCTGAACTCCCATGTAGTCGACTGCGGTTCGCGTCCCAGACCCGGTGGCTTAAAACTCACGCCGGGCGCGTGTGCATGCATGCCCAAGATCCCGAGAGGAGAATGGAGGAGAAGGGATTGCAGCGTGACCATACCCCCTGGGGGGGGTGATTTCTCGCTTTCTGTCTCTCTCTGTCTGTCTGGTGAGCGCACACGCCCTATAGCGAAAACCTCTCCAAAAAAAAAAAAGAAACTGAAGTGATAATTTTAGGGTTACTGATCTGGGAACATCCGCTATAATGTGAGGATGATAGGTAGCAGAAAGCAGTGTCCAGCTTTTCTACACCAATTCTTGCATAAGGACATAAAGCAAATGGAGAAAAAGAGAGGGACAGATGAAGAAGGCTGGATGATGCTGAGAGATGGAACCTGGTATAATGGTTAAAAGTAAAGGCTTTAGGGACCAGCAGAGGACAGAATGGTTACATTGCTGAATTCCCACATGGCTGACCATGGTTGAATCTCAGACCTGGAGACTTGAAACACACTGGGCGTGTGTGTGTGTGTGTGTGTGTGTGTGCCCAAAATCCCAAAAGGAAAATTGAGAAGGGATTGTGACATGGCCAGCTCCCCTGAAAGGTGGTCTCTTGCTCTCTGTCACTCCTTCTCTCTGTTTCTCCACGAAAGTGCAGGTGCCCTACAGCAAAAAATCTCTTGAAAAAATAATAAAAGTAGAGGCTTTGGAATTAGAAAGACATGGATCTAAGGTTCCAATTTCACACCACCTACTAAATCTGAGCACTTAGGTCAAGATTCTTATCCTTAGGAAGCCTCAATTTTCTCATCTGTAAAATAGGAATATAGGAGTATTAAGATTCATACCTCAGACCAAGGCATATAATACAAATCATATGGTAAGTATTTAAAAATATAGGTGTCTATGGGGCCAGCAGGTAACACAATGGCTAAAGTACTGGGCTCCCAGATGGTCCATTGCAGTTAGAGGCCTGGACCTGGTGGCTTAAAAATTACTCTGGGGCATGTGTGTACATGCCCAAAATCCCAGGAGGAGAGTGGAGGAGAAGGAACTGAACCATGGCCATCCCCTCTTGGGGGGAGGGGGGAATTTCTCACTTTCCCTCTCCCGTTCCCCTTCACCTTTCACTGTCTTTCTCTCTCCCACAAGGGCAGGTACCCTATGGCAAAAACAAACAAACAAACAAACAAACAAAAAACCTTAAGGATTATATATACACATACATATATACAAGGGGCCAGAAGGTGGCCTGGTGGTTAAGGAGCTGGACTTCCACATGGCAGACTGTGGTTAGAGTCACAGACCTGGCAGCTTGCTTTCTCACTTTCCCTCTCTGTTTTTGGCCAAAAAGAATTTTTTTTTTCGAGATTTTTTTTTTGCTATAGGGCATGTTTGCTTGCCAGAAAGAAAGCAAGAAGTCACTCCCCAAGGGGATGGCCATGCGGCAATCCCTTTTCCTCCATTCTCCTCTCCAGATCTTGGGCATGTGCCCAGCGTGTACAGGACTCAAACCATAGTCAACTACGTGGACGTCCAGCACAATCTGCCAGTCCCTCAAATTTAAAAACAGTAATAACAAGGAACCAGCAGATGGCATACTGGTTATGTCACTTGACACTTATGTACTCAACAGTGGTTCTAGTCCCAGCCCCAGTGGCTTAAACTTTCCCACCGGCAAGTGTGCGTGCGTGCCCAAGATCCAGAGAGAATAATGGAGAAGAAAGGATTGCGGCATGGCCATCCCTCCTGGAGGGTAATTTCTCGCTTTCTGTCTCTCTCACTCTCTGTCTCTCTGGCAAGTGCAAGAGCACTATAGCAAAAATTTCTAAAATAAATAATAAAATTAAATAATTATTTAAAAGATATATAAGTGTTTGTTATTACTAGCATTGTTATTAATACTATGCATATTTCCATGGGTATTAATATACAGTATTAATTTTCCTATCTGTAACTACCATTGCATTTCTATCATTTTCTTCAATAAGAGTGTGGTGACCAAAAGCGTACAGGACGGTGACAAGCCTGGGCTGTGGCATCCGGCAGAACCACTAGTGGGCCGGTGGGCCCGGTGACACCTCCCATCCCACAACCCCTTCTTCAGCCCAAGGGATTAAAGGCATGCTCTAAGGCCAGGTCTCCAGTGGCAAGCTCGCCCCCTCCCCACTGCAACCTAACGCCGCAGTGACCCGCTGCCGGCTGCCGGCCCCCGCCCCTCTTGAAATTTCATTTACATTTATTTTCTTGTAGTTCTGCTTAAGACGGCTAATACTCTCGCGCTCGACTTGCCACTCTGGCTTCTTCAGCTGTTTCCTCAACTGCTTCTTTTGGTTCTGCCTATGGCTGTGTTTTTTTTTCCAGCGATTGAAGCTCCTCACCGGGTCGGGTCGGGCTCCCGGGCCCCGAGAGTCGGCAGTTTTGCCCATCGCGGCGGCGGTGGCTATAGCCGGAATCGCCCCCAGACACGAGACGCCTAAGACCAGGAGGAGGTGCGGCACTAAGCAGACACGGAACCAGCGTGGGAAAAAGCGCACAGAGGCGCATGCGCGAATCCAGGAGCCCGCCCCCGAGCTTTTGAACTCCGGGCACGTGCCGATGACGGTACCGAAAAGCCGGGCGGTGACTGGCCGTTTGGCTTCCGCAGGGAGGTGCTTTCCGGGGGGAGCGGGGGCGGGGCGTTCTGAGGAAGAGGGCGGGCTGAGCAGCCACAGGAGCACGCCGGCTCTTTAAAAGGACGCAGGCGCGCCGGTTGCTGTTACTCTGGTGACGTCATTTCGTTTAATATTTATGGAGTGTTACGCGATTATGAGCGCGCGTGCGTGTGCACACAGCCTCTGAATTATAATCGTAGCCCTTATTATGCAAAATCTCGGTCCAGGGATCCAAAGATTTGCCCAAAATCAAACAGCTAGTTAATGATTTATGATTGCTGTCCACTGCAGTGAACCTCCTTGGTAATAAAAAATGAATGTTTTCTATTCTTATGACCCACTAATTTTTCCCTTTCCTCAGAATCCTTCGAACTCCAACTACAGCAATAAAGAACAGAATTGAATTTGCATTAAAATGTGAATATGAAGACAAAATTACTAAAAGGATTACTAGAAAAATTATTTGCAAATTGGCCGGTTACATGAGTTGTTTTTGCTTTTTTGTTGTTTATTTGTTTTTAGAGAGTTTTTTTTGCTATTGGGCGTGTGCTCTCACCCAAGAGACAGAGAGACAAAAAACAAGAGATCACCCTCTGGGGGTGCTGACCTAAAGGCAAACCCTTCTTCATTCTCCTCTCGGGATCTTGGGAGAGCAAACGCATGCGCCTGGCATGAGTTTTAAGCTGCTGGGTCCTGGACTTCAACAGGGGAGCCCAGCTACGTAACCATTAGACCATCTGTTGGTGCGAAATGAATTGGTTTTAAAAGAAGGAGGGAGGCAGTAGTTTGGCCCGATTACCTAGAAGCTCTGTAGGTACATGGGTGGGATATGAGAGGGCCCATTGTGGCAGTAGGAATTAGAGAATTGGATTCAAGACTACCATGCAGAGTGGGCCCTCAAATTCCCTTTCCAACCCCACATATCCAGTTGACTTCCCCCAACCCCCTCCCCATCCCTCAATCTCTTCTCCTCCAGGGATCTTGGACATGCATGCACACACCCAGGTGTGATTTTTGAACCACCGGGCCACAACTTGAACCACAGTTGGCCATCTAGGAGTACAGCAACTAACCACTATGCCATTTACTGGCCCAAGGACTAGTTTTTAACAAATTTTAATTTCAATCCTTTACATTCTCTGCTGTCAATCAGCATTCATAAAACACCAAAAAAAAAAAAAAAAAAACGAAAAAAGAGTTGTAAATGTGCCTAGTATCTACTGCTACAAATATAGGTAAACTGTAAATATGGGGAGGGTCATACTAAAGTGTAGGGAGTAGATGCAGTATTTTTAGTTCTTCATACATGGATATCCTATTTAATATTATTTATCAATCACTTTTTAAAAAAAGTATTTAACTTTATTCATTTATTTTAAGAATTTTTAAATTTTATTTTATTTATTGTCATTATTTTGTTTGTTTGTTTATTTATTTATTTATTTTTAAGTTGACCAGAGAGAGACAGAGAGAAAGAAGAAAAGTGAGAAAGCAAGCTGTCCGGTCCAGAACTTGAACCACAGTCAGCCATGTGGGACTCAGCTGCCTTAACTACCACACCACCTGCTGGCCCCCATTCATTTATTTTTAATTTGACCAGAGGGAGTGAGAGAAAGAGAAGGTGCGAAAGTAAGCCACAAGGTCCAGAACTCTAACTGTGGTCAGCCATGTGGGAATTTCCATTGCCCTAACCACCATGCCACCTGCTGTTCCCCTGTGTATCGACTACTTTCTATTTGCAATCTTCACATAGTTGATAATCATGATAATCTTAATTATTCAAATTACATGTTTCTAAAATTCTGAAAAGACCATTATATTTCTTCAATATTCCTTTTTTTAAAAGAGTATCTTATTTGAGCCAGCCTATAGCCTAGTGGTTAAGGCAGCTGGATCCTACATGGCTTACTACATGGTTTGACTCCTGGCTTGAAGAGTATACACTCAGCACACGTGCAAGTATGCCCAAAATCCCAACACTGTAGAGAGATAGGGGAGAAGGGATATGGCATGACCATGGCCAATGGGGGTTACTTTCTCTCTCTCTGTCGTCTTTCTTTCTCTCTGTGTCTCTCTCCAGCAAGTATACACACCCTCTGGCAGATTAAGAAAAAAAAAAAAATGTTTGCCTAACTATACTTCACTAGACCACACTTGTTTTATGCATTATTAAAAAAAAAAAAAAAAAAAAAAAGATGGGGCCAACAGATGACATAATGGTTATGTCACTGAACTTGCAGCTGACCACAGTTTATGTGCCATACTCAGTGGTTTAAACTCATGCTGGGTGCGTGTATGTGCATGCATGCCCAAAATCCTGAGAAAAGAATAGAGAAGGGACTGTGACATGGCCATCCCCCCACGCTTTCTGTTTCTCTGCCTCTCTCTCTCTGTTTCTCCAACGAGTACATGCACACTATGGCAAAAACCTCTCAAAAAAGGAAAAAAAGAAAGAAGGAGGGAAAAGAAAAGAAAACCAGAATGGTACCCCAACATATGCCTTTTTGACACTAAAAATTATTGTTGAGCTAAAATAGGCAGTTAAAAACCAGCGAATGGAGAAAAAATTCTCCCTATTCTTCCACTTTTCTACATAACAAGAGGATATAAATTCTCCTGTATAAGAGACAATTCTAGTAGTCAAAACAGCCCTGAGAGGGCACCAGATGAATCTGCCACAAACCTTACACCATCGGCTTTCTCCCACATGTTTACTCGCCACCGTTGCTCGCCTTTGGAAGCCCAAAACTGTTTTCCTTCTTCCAGTGTTTTCTCTACAAATTAATTTTTCTTTGCTGAAAGTGATACATAAGCCAGGGTTCTAAGCCACTATTTTATTATCTTTTTCATTTGAGGTTTCTCCTATGTGATGTGCAGAGCACACGTTAATAAGTGGTTGCTGGGGGTTCCTATTGTTACTTCATCTTTTGTTATGAGGGCCTGTCCCAAATACAAATTTAGGAGTGTTTGGGGGAAAATACATTCCTGCCTAATCATTAAGTATGTTATGCTTTTCAATAAAAATAATTTAAAATATAGCTTGTCCCCCAAAATGAAAGACGTGCCAATAATACAGAGCAAATACATTTAAACATGGATGTTTTCAAAAGGGTATCTTTAGCCAGTATTCCAGACTTTATCTACACAATTTATCTTTCAAAATATCAATGACTTATAAGACCATTGCTCATTGTTTCTAATTGAATATTAGTGGCAGAATAACCTCAAGACTCATGTATCGTGTATTTTTACAATAATTTCAAAATAAATTTAAATGTTTGTTTCAATGTACTCCTCTCCACTCACCAATGATACTAGTAAAAATTACTGTGGCTTTCACACATATGCATTCTAATACTGAGGTCTACTAGTAAAATTACTTGAAAACATGTGCCTTAATCAACTGAAGATTTTTTTACATAAATTTTATTTGTCCATTATTGTTCTTTCATTTGACCAGAGAGAAACAGAGAAAGAGAGAGGGAGAATGAAAAAGGAAGCTCCAGGTCTAGGACTTGAACTGTGATCAGCTATGTGGGAATCCAGAGCCTTAACCACCATGCCATCTACTAGCCCCCAATTGAAGATTTTTAAAGTCCTGCCACTATTTTCCTTTAGTGAGGTATTAGAACTTCCAGATAGTTCTTTTTCGTCCATCATGGGCCAGCAGGTGGCAATATAGGATCAAGTACTAAATTTCCCTTAGGATTAGACTGAATTCAGCCCAGTTTGTGTGTGTGTGTGTGTGTGTGTGTGTGTGTGTGTGTGTGTGTGCCAGAGGGCATGTGAACTTGCTCAGGCAGAGCCCTGAGGAGGTTAGAGAAAGAAATTAAGAAAACCCTCCCTTGGGAAATGGTCATGCCACAATCCGTTCTCCTCCATCTCTCTCCCCTTTCAAGACTTTGGCACAAGTGCACGTAGGCCAGCATGTTTCTCAAGCTGCTGGATTTGGGTCTTTAAAGCACACAGTCATCCATGTGGGATCTAGTCACTTTAACTACCACATGCCACCAGTTGGCCCTATTTGTTTGTTTTTAATTTTTAAGTTATTTTTATTTTACTCATGATTAAGAGTACATGCACAAGCAAGAAAGGGAGCAGGATAAGAAGAAAAGGAAACACTCTCGGCATGGTCTCCTTGCACTATGTTGTTCCCTTTGACACCCAAAGCATCAGGATCTTGGGCATGCATACATGTCACCAGCACGTTTTCAAGCTGACCCATGGATCCAAACCCGTAGGTCCCCATGTGGCTTCCAGTACTGCAGTTCTGTTTGCTACTGACTGTACCACCAGGCTAGGCTGACTGGATTTTTTGTAGCCACCAATATAATTGGTTTACGAGTCAGTTCATCTGCCTTATTGTAAGATCAAGCTCGTAAGACATGCTTTGCAATTACTACAACTCAAATTCTTTGGAGTATTTTTCCATTCATTATTCTAACAATTAATTGGAAGTAATTGCTAACATTTAATAAGCACCTAGTGTTATGCATGACTAGGTACATTATATATACGTTAAATCTAAAACTTACACAACCCATTTTCTAGAAAATTATTTGGCAGATAAGAAAGCTGATGCCAGGAAAGACTAAATGATATACTAAGGGTCACTGACCTAGTAAATGACAGTACTCATATTCCATCCCAGTTTGTGGCACTGCAAAACATATATGATTTTAAATTATTCCACATGAAAATTCTTCCATCTTATGAAGATTTAAGATTTTAAGATCATCATAAAAGCAGTTTATTTTCTACTGGGGCCAGTCTTGTGTGCAGCTCAAAGAGTCACTGCTGAAAATGTTACACTAAGTGAAAAAAGCCAGTCACAGAAGACCACATCGTGTATGACTCCATTGACGTGACATAACCAGAAT